TAAATAAGGCTAATCTGCCCTCCAAATTTGGTCGTACCCCGAGGTAAATTTTCCCCATAAGGTTCAATGTAAATAAGGCTAATCTGCCCTCCAAATTTGGTCGTACCCCGAGGTAAATTTCCCCCATAAGGTTCAATGTAAATATGGCTAAACAGTTTTGAAACTGTTTTTATTTTATTTTTAAACCTCAAAAACCTTCCAAAATGCCACAAAACACACCACAGGCCTCACCGAACGTCTCCTCGCTACCGCGATCTCGCCCACAGGAAGCCGCGACCGCGTGGCAGCAGGGAAAATGGCCGCGGATCCGGTTCGTAAGTAGAGGTAAATTTTTGGGGCCGGAGCTGGTTGTATCTCGAAAAATTCGTAAGAAGGGGTGTTCATAAGTAGAGGTACCACTGTATTCTCATTATGCAGGTAGTCTCCGAAAACAGAATTACTAGAACTTTGCACATGCTGTAGCAGTAGACTTGTTAATTAATATTAAACTCAAAGATATTTAAAGTAAAGACTTTCTGAATCAAGAAAGAGCCATTCGGCTACTATCTAAACAGCCAGTCAGCATGGCTCCTCTTCCTGTAACACTGAGAAAATATCAGAATGCCCAGGAAAGACAGGAACATTCTGTGCTATGGTTACTTCCCGTGGCTGTTTTATTTCAGTTATAAAGAAGGCAGTGCTCATGTAGGAAACGGTCATTTTATAAACTCATCCCACGTGGTCCAATGAATTTATCAAAAGCACAAAGAAGGGGCTAAAATGTTCAGTCTACTTCACTGACTGGGCATTACCAACCCCAACCTTGCAATCCTCAGAATACGGCACAAAGATATCATGCAGCTCCTATGCCATACTAACCTAGGTAACATCTCATTTCAATCTTCTGTTAAAGTTAGCTTGAACTCATTTGTGGTTTGTGATTTTTTTATTTTTATTTTTATTTTGTAGGAGTTTCTCCACAGGTGGAGGTATCATGTATCCCCACTCCCACCAATGTAGTCTCTTCTGCTATTGGAAATTCAAATGGGGAAGAGGTGGGGCCATCTGTCTATTTGGAAAGACTAAAAATCCTCAGGCAGCGATGTGGCCTTGACAATGCAAAGGTAGTTAATAAGTAGAACAAGTAGAAAGTTTTTGACTCATTTATTTAATTGGGTTCTCTTTCTCTAGTTTTAAGACTTGTGTGGAGAATAGGACACATTTTAGGTCATATTTATTCAGAAATATTGAAAATTCAAAAGGGTTCACAAACTTTTAAACACCACTGTAAAAAGAATCTGAGTTATGCCAAGAAGCCATATTTCACACTTTTTGACTGCTGGTAATTTTGTTCAGTGGATGTCTTAAGCTTAATATTACTGTATCAGCATAGGTGAAGATAATAAGCAAGGCTATATTCCCTGTGCTTGAAAAAAATCATAGCAAGAAAATATTGATTCTGCTTATGACTTTGGCCATGGTGAAGATAAAGAATAAGACAACATTTTAACATCTTTAGCAATGAGCATGAAACTGAGCAAACTCAGGGAGGCAGTGAAGGACCGGAAGGCCTGGTGCAATATGGTTCATGGG